CATGTACTTGTACGATCTGTTTGTATATGATGAATTAAAATAAATCAACAGATAATCCATGTACTTGTACGATCTGTTTGTATATGATGAAATAAAATAAATCAACAGATAATCCATGTACTTGTACGATCTGTTTGTATATGATGAATTAAAATAAATCAACTAATAATCCATGTACTTGTACGATCTGTTTGTATATGATGTATTAATTATGAGTGGTTGCCAACATTCAACTTATAATGAATATTTTAGCACATGTATTTTGGTTTTTGATGTCTTTATAACAACTAACTGATTATTGTACAATTTATTAATTTTCATTTCTTTTTTTGAAACAAATCCTCTATAGCATTTTGAGATATTTTTGTTTATAGTCTCATCCCACTTTGTATCTAGTTTTGTGTGTATGAATGTGTCTTAAGTAATTTTTTTAAATAATAAAAAAATTTTTACCTCTGTAAAAGGTATAATAATTGGGTATTTTTCTTCAGCTTTGACTACGATAGTTTAATAAAAAATAATAATGTTCAATGCCCCCTCAGTGGCTCAGTTGTAAGTCTGAAGGTTTATAACGCTAAAAACAGGGTTTCGATACTTCTGATGGGCACATTACATATAGCAAATTGTGTAGCTTCGCGCTCAACAAAAACATACAATTAATGTTCAAGGAGTTTCAAACACCTTCAGGTTATTCTGTTGTAAGCTGTTTCCACTGATTCTCAGGAGAACGTTAGTTACTGGAAATTGTCATACAAGCAGCCAAGTCTGCAAGTTCTGATTACACCTAGTGAGGACACACGCCTGATGCTAAAAATAAGCTGTGACATCTTTATGCTACTCACGTGATCCACACGGCCTTTATAAAGCAGTGCAGCTCGTCGCTTACTTAATGTAAATGAAAATTGTCCTGTATTCGTATATGTAAGTAAAGTAAGACGACAGAGAATTCACAACCAACGTTCACTTGTTTCTGGTCTAACGGTTTGAAGTAGATTTGTTCTTTATAAGTGCATTATGGCAAAAACTGAGGCACGAAGTATGCCATATTCACGAACAGCATCTGCTCCTTTGTCTAACACCCAGGCCATCATCAATCTTGAGGTAAAGAAGAAAAAAGGGTCAAGAGAAAGGACCATACGAACAAGAAGGAAAACGGCCCCGATTGTAATGCTTCCTGCTTCTTCCACTCTGGAAAATCGAGAAAGTCCTGGTCGTTTGGGGGATGAACTTGAATTAATGAGACCATCCTATGGAACCAGAAGCAATAGAAGCAAAAATGGAACCACAAAAGACTTTGTCCACCGATCACAGTCTGTGCGGACTAGTCATAGGCCGCAATCCTTAGACCCCGCTAATAGGTCTCGACAGAGGATAAATAGCATTACAGATGATACTTTTCCTGAAAGATCTTCCTCCAATTGTTCTCTTCCACTCCCCGAAGAGGAAAGAGACTACTACCAAAGGCTCCGCAACTTCTCTATTACACCTAAAGGCGTGATAAACAGAGGTGATTCTTTTCGCTCCAAGTCTTATAGTTCTCACAGTGTGTCATCTTGTGGGTCACAGCCTCCTACTGCAGAACTCTCGGTCGAGTCATCCGACATACCCGCCTGTTCAACCGTTAGGTACCGTATCTTGGTTCTTGGATGCCCTGGAGTAGGCAAATCGGCTCTTACAACTCAGTTTACAACATCAGAATATATCTGTGCATACGATACTTCTTTAGGTAAGAAGCAGCGAGCGTATTGATATAATATTAATGTAAAATGTTAACAAAGTCTAGGTGTTAGTTATATATATTTTCTATATCAATTTATAGAATACGAAGTAGCATCCGGGGCTTGAAAAACTCTCAGTTTTATTCGTTATTTTTAAATAAGAAATAACTTTTTATATAAACAATATATAGTTCATACACGTTTTAGTATTTTGTAATTTATAAAGACATATATATATATATATATAATGACCCTAATATAATGTGTCCTTTTTACATAACAAAAGCATTAGATAAAAAGTGCTTATTAATTTTTGTTTATTTTAAATGTGTTATAACTAAACCCGTATTAAATGAAACATTTTATGATCCCATCTCCATTGTTAATGTTTGTAGCTAAACTGGAACATCATTTTAATAGTTATTTTATTCCTTAATTTTTTAACTCACGGTTTTGTTTCATGTGAAATGTTTATGAACTGCCAAAGTGCTGATGTGATATCTATTTTTACTATAGCATTAGTTTTGAAAATGTGTAATTTCATCATCAAGATTACAATGGTATTTTTGTGGTTAATATTTTATGTTCAGTAACAAATCACAAAAGTAACTTATGATGATAAAATTACGTTAAGCATAAGAAACATGTTAACTTTGTCATAATTGAGTCGAATCAATAATTTTGAAATGTTTTAAATATCCTTTAACACTGTAGACGAAGAAAATGAAAAACTGGTAACTGTTGTGTTGAATGGAGAGGAGTCTGAGCTGCTGTTTGTTGAACACACTCTCCCTATAAAAGCAGTAAGTGTAAAAATATATTTATCTAATTTTTAGTCTAACTGAAAACAATTACAGCTACACGCGCAATCTTCCCACGAAAGCATAAAGTTTGATAATATATTTATCTGGTTGTTAGTCTTAGATATACATATGCAGTCTTCCCACAAAACATTAAGTGTGAGCCTCTATCTATCTAGTTGTTAGTCTTAACTTAAAACAATTCAAAAACATGTGTAATATTTCCACAAAGCTTTAAGTGTGATTATCTATCTATCTATCTAGTTGTTGTTTTTATTTACAACACATATATTTATATATAAATATATATCTATGTTAGGATTCTTTTCAACCATTGGAAACAATGTTAAATAACGCTGATGCCATCATCACCGTGTATTCTTCGTGTGACAAGACAGGCTTCCGTAAAACAAGAGACACTCTTCTGAGAATGAACAATGTAGAAGAAAGAGATCCCAAACCAGTTATTTTGGTAGGAAACAAAACAGATTTAGCTCGACTGAGGGTGGTTAGCACAAAAGGTATGTTTACGTAGGCATGTTTAAATGTTACTTAAATTATAACTGAGATTAGCTTCATGCATTACATGAAAATGTATCATTTGAAACGTTAATCAAAAGCTGAACGAAGATTATAAATTACCCTTTCAATTTAAACACTTAATTTCTTGACTAAATATGTACGAGTAAGTGTTCAGTTATAAGATTGAAAACATTATCTACATTGTTTATTCATCTGCTTATTTGACATCAAACGACTGTTTGTAAAAACCTAGATATATCCTACAATTAATCAACAACGTTTTTCAACTTTTTTTATAGATGCTAGAGCCTTAGCCACCTCTATTGGTTGCAAGTTCATTGAGACTTCAGTGGGAATCAACCATAACGTTGATGAGCTTTTGGTTGGAATCTTAAGCCAGATCCGGCTGAAAGGTCAACAGTTAGATGGGAAAAGGGAGTCGGTCACCTTAGCTGGCCCGCCACTAGCGACTTCATCTTATACTGGTTGCAAAGCTAAAGTTTTTATTAGAAAACTGTTAGAAAAGACTGTCCTAAAGTCGAAATCTTGTAATAATCTGCACGTGTTGTAGAAACGAGATACTCTTAAAATTTACTAACAGTAGAGCTGAGGATGTTTTATAATTAACCTTGCCGATTCAACGAGGTTACAAAATAAAAACATAAAATTCAAAGATGTTTTGTATTCAGAAATTGAAAAGAGTTCGGATACGAGATGTCACTTAATGACACTTACAATATACCATTTTGTTTTTAGTGCTCATTATCTTGTCAGACTACATACAGTAACTGAGAAGTTTCATGCTTTTGTAACTGTGTATAATTTTATTTTTTAAAAACATATATATATATAGTGTTCCTTTTATTTACCCATAACGGTATCAAGATGTATGACTGTAGAAACTGCACGAAGCCTTAGGTAACCAACTATAAAAGTTTTACTTTTTCATGGTTGTGTCATTCAATTGTTATAAAGTGAAGTGTTAACTCTAACGTGCGTTATGATTTTGTAAATAACTTTGGATAAGTCAAATCTTTAAATAATAGAAACTTATAACTACCAAACCAACTATTCGTTTGCATGACGTTATGTTCACGAAAATTTCCGGTATTTATAGATCTTAAAGTTAACAAATGCCTTTGACCTTAAGAAAATGAGTCAAAGTTGCTTTCGTTGATCCGAAGTTTATTGAAAATAAAATATTGCAATGAAATGTTATTTAATTTAAATAAGTTTGCCACCACTATCCCGTTATTATCTGTTTATATATGAATGTGTTTAAACTTGCATATCTTTATCTGTAACGGTGCTACACTAACTTGGTTCACACCACATATATGTGTAAATATGCCACGTGTTCTCGTGTAAACAATAATATATGTATTTACGTGTATTTTTGCTTCTACTTCACTTGCACGATTTGTGTACAAAGCGCTTTTATACAAACTTTTCTACCTTTTTTCTATATTTTATATTATCTTGTGTTAATTTATGTGTGAATATAAATGTTTAGTTCATGTTATCGTTTTAATTTATAATCATTTCACTATAATACAATGTTTAGTTCATGTTATCGTTTTAATTTATAATCATTTCACTATAATACAATGTTTAGTTCATGTTATCGTTTTAATTTATAATCATTTCACTATAATACAATGTTTAGTTCGAAAAATTAAGATATATTCTGTTCATTTAATCAAGAAAACAGCTTTTATATAATATGTGTGTATTTATATATTATTTCTTAATATTGTTAAACTAGCGATGATTGTTTCTTTGTTTTATTTATCATTATAATTTTTCGACGGAGAGAGAGAGAGTTTTAGGCCTATCTAGCATCATGACCCTAAGTTTCTACGGAATTTAAATTGTTGTATTTTAATTAAGATTTCTTATCGCAACTAGACAAATTACGTTTTTTTTTCTAAAAAAAACGTTATCGATGTTTAGAAAAAAAAAGTTGATGATATAGAAAACGTGTACGTCAAGCGACCTGACAGTTACAATCACTACATTAATTTAAAAGAAAAATTAGTGGGAGCTGCTGTGGAAGTTTGTTTGTAGTATAAGCAAAGAGCTGCACAATGGGCTATCTGTGCTCTGCCCACTATGGGTATTGAAATCCGGTTTCTAGCGTTGTAAGCCCGCAGACTTATCGCTGTGCCACTGCTGTGGAAGTATTAACCTAAGTAAAGTTTTTACAAAATGCGTCTCTTATTTCGAAAATAATTATATTATTTTTCTATTTTCTTTACTTTTTTATTTCAAACCTTTTACTTATTTGGAACGAAAGTTAGTTGTGTATTTATTGAGATGTAAATTATTATTGGCACCTGATAAAATTTATTATCCTCCCACTGATAGTTACAAAAGGTTGGAGATAAATTTTCCGTAATGTTGCAGTGTTTTACAGTGAATGATAGCTAATAATTTAGACGTTATTTTAGAATATTGACTCAGGAAACTGTATATATATGACCTGTAGGTGCTTTGAAATAAATATATGATGTTGAATAACTATTTTCGTTTGTGTGACTCTTAAATAGATTTAAAATAACGTTATCGTAACGGGCTAATCAACTATTCTTAAGTAATACGTTTTAACGTTGCCGTTTGTTTCCCACTATATTACAATAAAATGAACAACTGATTTAAAATACGCTACGTTCGTCATTGAAAAACACTTAGCATGAGTTTCACAAATATAAAGTATTACACCTTTATAAGCCGCTATTTACACCAGTTCAAAGAAATATGGTTTTAACTTTCGAATTTTGGAAAAAAATAAAGGAATGTGTATTTTGGAATACTAAACTGGCACAAATAAATTATGATTTCTACAAATGAGAATTAATATATGCTTTTCATTGTGAGCTTTAGATGCTTAATGAACGGCTTAAAAGTTTAAGTTACGGAAGCTGAAAAAGAGTTTTGTTGGATTCTACATAAAGCTACACGAACGTTATCCGTACTTAATTTTGAGCTTTAGATGCTTAATGAACGGCTTAAAAGTTTAAGTTACGGAAGCTGAAAAAGAGTTTTGTTGGATTCTACATAAAGCTACACGAACGTTATCCGTACTTAATTTTGAAATGATAGGCTAGAAGAAAGACAGATACTCAACACCATCCACTTCCAAATCTTAGGCTTCTACAGTTAGACTGGATACAGGGTTTTGACAGTCACTCTTATAACACACCAGGACCACAAAGTGCAGGGCACGATTTTGGTTTGACGGTGAGGTGAAGCGAACCAAAGAACATCAGATCCATATTCCGACACGTTAACCACTAGGCCGGACTCGAACCCTAAATTAAATAAAGAAAAAAAATACACTTAAAATGCCTCAATAAATTGTGACTAAGCAATAGTAAATACATGACCTAGTATTCATTTACTCATTGAGGAAATATTATCATGTATTTTATGGTTTCATTTCATCTATCTGTATATGATGAGCTAGTAAGCAAAGGTAAATTATTTTATTGAAAAAAAAGTATTAACATGAGAAATATTTATATCTGTCACTACGATGTATATTAGGATATCATAATACATAGTAAACGGCTATCAACCATAATATAACCGTTTAGTTGGGTCGTTAACATATCATATTCATCCTATTTTCGTTATCAACACCTGAATAAGACTGCAACTTGATATCCATTGTCAGAGTTAAAAACGGTCAATGATAACTCCAATACAAATTTTCTGATTAACTTTTCGATTTCCGAGTTAAATTGGTTTAGGAAATTTGGGTGTCAGTTAAGTTTCAAAGATGTAGTTTCCACTAGGAGGCGAAACGATGGAATAATTATAAAGAATTGTAATAGTTATTTTCAAGCCTTCAAAAAGTTAATAATTGTTTTAGTACAAACTCAAGTATTTCTATCATACTTGAGTAATTGGATGACCTTTGACTTCAGATGAAATAAAAAATTTTTCCCAACGTTGTACACCTTTATCAAAGAGCTGCAGTACAGAAAAACTAGCAGATATTTTTGAATTTATAACTAACGTTCTAATTCTAGTGTAAAGGTTCATCCCACAGCGCCAGTTCTGCTTACCAAAAATGGCCCACTGGGCACTCACATCCAAACGTCCGGGCTTCAGTCGAGTTAGTTTGTTGTTAATTGCTGTTTATCTCGTTTTAAATTACATATTTTTATGAGCCCAATTTTATATAACGAGAGTAAATAATGAAAGGGTAATAGCTAACATTAACTTTTCAGTGAAAAACCTGTAACTGAAACTTTATTCAGGGACCTGGACTTGAACCCGGGGCCTCTGGCTAACAGGACCAGTGCTTTACCACTCTACCTAGTTTAAATGAAGACTAATAAAAAAAATTCACACCACATCAGATTAACACAGACACCGAGAAATTCCCTTTAAAGAACAGATGGTGCACTCTTCTTTTACGCCATGAAACTCTGAAAAACAACAACATTTATTTTGCCATAGACAACGGAGCTGAAAAAAATAGAATGTACACCCAACAAAATCATTTACGAATTAAAATGCAAAACTTGTAGAGAGACGTACATTGGTGAAATAGAAAATACATAAACACACCAGTGGTGTAAACAAATGGAAACCAAAAAAAGGTGTTCCACCATGGTAAGCAACCATGGTCATTCATCAATGAGGGAGCCTTGTCCTTTCAACATCAAAATTCTTCCAAAGACTAATGTCTTCAAAGAAAGTCTATTTTGCTCTTTGTTTGTAATAGCATATGTAACGAGATAGTTTGTTTTTATAAAAATAATGTTACAAGCAGTACTGTATGTTTACAAATCTAAATGTTGCAACTCATGTTGTAATGGTAAATTACATACATACACACTGGCTGGCCACTTTATTAGAACCTATACCGATAAAGGGTTGGGCAAACATTTGCCCAAATAACAGTGATGCCATAATGTAACATAGAATTTATAATGTGCTGGGAGATGCCTCGAGGGATCCCCCACTCCCATTCAGTCATTAATATTGTACCCAATTCATGGAGCTAGGTGAACAGAGGATCATCATGAGGAATGTATCTTTCAAGCTCATTCCACACATAATCAAATGAATGGAGGTCCGGAGATTGGTGGTGGTCATGGGAGATGACTGAAGTTTCACTGATGTTTTTAAACCATACATGCATAGAAATTTGGGCGACGGGCGATGGATTT